CCCCCCCCCCCCCCCCCCACTCACCTTTTGGGGTTTCATCGCAAAATGTTTGAGAAAATGCCTTCAATAATTGGGTGATGATTAGGGCTGCGAGATTATTGTTCCCTTTCCTGCACAAACCCCTCCTTCCTTCCCAGCACCGACAATTATTATCTGGTGATCACTCTTCAAAGCAAGGAGCTTGTATGAATAAATTCTTGGACAGAGATCAAATTTTTGTTATGTTACAACTGTAGTTTTTTAGCTCACATTCTCATTTTGTTTAATGTTTTGTTTTTCAATGAATCCTTAAATCTTCTTAAAGTTATTCCATTCATAGTTTACCGCCAGTGGGAGCTTCTTGCTGCCATAAAAAGTTTGCCTTACATTTTGCCTTTCTAATGATGCAAATTCATTTTTAGACTTACGAAATCAGTCTTCCATTTCCCTTTTTCCTTCTTTCAGTCGCCATTAAAACATTACATCATCAAAGATACAAATTAGATTCCTATATTAGGCTCATCATTTTTAGGTTAAAGAACTTTTTTTTTCAAAAAAAAAAAAAAAATCATTGTGTCAACGTTTTTGATGGATACTATTTTTTTTTTTTGATGGATACTATTGCAGAGTTTGGCAGTGAATAATGTCAACCTTGGGATGGGCTCAGACATCACTATGGTCCCAACGAAGTTGTTGCGGCATGATGGTGATCAGTAATTAGTTTGAGTTTTATTTTTTTAAATAAATATTTTTGCTAATTATTAATTTGATAATATAAATTGTGTACAGTAGTTGATATTGTTCATGAGTAGTGTTTTTAAATGAAATTCTGTCGATTTTTTTGTTAAATAGTGGCTCATATTTATTGACAATAGTTCTCCAATCAGAATGTTTTTATATTATATAGTAATACGACATTACTATTACTTAGACACAATGATCTTTGTACCAACCCTAGAGATAATTTCTATAAAAAAACAGTGAAACCAAAAAGACTTAATTTTTGTTATTATTATCTTGTCTAACATTGAAAAAGGGAAATTTTGTAAGTATAATAATTTTTATATTTTTCATGCTTTCCAAATTCATAACATTCTTGGAAAATTTTCATTCTAAACAAACCCATGAAAGAAAATATTTTTTTTAATTTTCCATTCTATCGGTTCATTTCTCTCTATTTTTTTCCATTGCGCGAAACACATTTAACACCCCAATTGATTCTCTCCCCTAAAGTCTCGCATCTGTTAACTTTAGTTTCTACCAATACAGATTGATTGACATTTGGCACAACCCAGCAATGAACATACACCCGTGGACAGAGTTATGGATTCCACTGAGAAACTTGGAAAATCACACACAAACACATTTTCATGGGAAACAAATTTAACACCGAATGATGGAGGCCAAACACCAATCCAATGCTTCCATAGAAAGCCTGCACATATTTTTATTGGTTAAGAGTACGTTTTAATAACGTATTCAAGGATCCCGTATTGAGAAAACACTTTCTCTCTCTAAGCAAGACCTTCTCTCTCTAAGCGATTGGAGAAAGAGGGAGAGAAACCCTGCTCTTTCTACCTTTTCACACTTATTCTTCCCTTTCCTTGGAGGAGGAAAATCATCCGCAGCGAAGCATAAAGAAGGTTAAAGAAAACCATGAACAACATCCTAATGATATGAACCTCGACCCATCGGGTAGGAGTTCAGAGATTTTGTATACCCACCAGAAGTCACTCTGAAGAATATGAGTTATAAAGCAGTATTAATGGAGGACAATAACTCCATTTATTTTGATCTGGAGATGTATAACAACTCCTTGGATGACGAACCGACAGATTCTGAACCAGGGGAAGGTCCTTGCAAGAAGGATAACACCTTCATCGACTACTCAGATGAGAGTTGCCCCAAGGTCACTTTATCCCAAAAAACAATACAGAGAATCAGGAAGAAATGGAAGAATAGCCTTATTGACAAACTCTTGGGTAAATCTATAGGGTATAAGATGCTATGTATCAGGGTGAAAAATATTTGGTGTTTACAAGAAGAATTAGACGCTGTGGATTTGGATCATGGGCTTTTCCTGTGTAATTTTCAACTGCAAGAGGACCTTCACATGGTTTCCACCGGTGGACCTTGGATTATTATGAACTATTATCTCACGGTGAGAAAATGGGAGCCTAACTTCATTCCTTTGAGGGCCCAAAAAAATTTAACGGTACTGTGGGTTAGACTGCTGGAATTGCCGGTGGAATACTATGAGGAGAAAACGATCTTCAAGATTGCGCAAGCATTGGGTAACCCAGTTAAAGTGGATATTAGAACAGCGACGGCGGAAAGGGGAAAGTTCGCAAGGGTCTGCATAGAAAGGGACTTGACCCAACCTCTCATTTCCCATTATGGATTGGGATCCCTTCTCTTTATAGTTGAGTATGAATGCCTCCGTTCAATCTGCTTTGCTTGTAGTAGAATCGGTCATTCCGGTGACTATTATACTTTTGTGCGCAGAACCGATCCATCGGAGTCCACCAGAAAAGGTAAACAAGTAGTCGTTTCTGATCCTCATTCACCGATAACGTATAATTCCACTGATTCGATCCAAACGGTAGGAAAGGCTACCCTGTCTAACCCAATGGACCCATCTGCTAAGACTAAGAGTTACAGTGAAGAGGACCAGGAATGAACTGAATTATGTAGAAAAATGGGGAGAAATATAGGAAGAATTATGACAATAAATAAATAAGATAATGGGATGTGAGTATTATTTTTAAAATTTATTTTTTTTTAAGTATTTCCTTTAAACTTATCTTCGTTTAAATTTTTTTTTTCATTATGTAGTTGTTAATAAGTACACATTTTAAAATTCTTTATAAAATATATTTCATAATTACTGTTATTATAAATAGTGCATATCTACTTGAATATGAGACTTTCAAGAATTTTTTTGATATTTGTGTATTATTTGAATTTTAAAATTTTATATATACACACGTAATACAGTAACATTAAACAGTAACACACTCAACAAAAAAATAGTAACATCAAACAGTGGCACGCTCAACAAAAAAAAGAGTAACATCAAACAGTGACACGCTCAATAAAAATATTTGTGTNCAACAAAAAAATAGTAACATCAAACAGTGGCACGCTCAACAAAAAAAAGAGTAACATCAAACAGTGACACGCTCAATAAAAATATTTGTGTTACTATTTGATGTTACTATTTATTTGTTGAGTGTGTTACTATTTGATGTTATTTTTTTTTTGTTGAAAGTGTCATTGTTTGATATTACTGTTTTTTGTTGAGTGTGTCACCGTTTGATGTCACTGTATTACGTATGTGTGTATATATATATATGAAATTTTAAAATTCAAATAATACACAAATATCAAAAGAAATATTAAAAGTCTCACATTTTAATTTTGAAAGTCTCACATTCAATTAGGTATGCACTATTTATGGTATGGATAAAAGGATTTTTATGACTTTTTTTTAATATATATTTCTATCTTAATTATGTTAAAAAGTATACTTTTATGTTATTAAGTTTTTTTGTGAGATACCGGCCTCCCCAGCTCCAAAATAAATCACATCAGGTATCTCTAGGCCAAGAGCAAGTAATAGGTTCCAGGCTCTGGAGAAGGAAAGCCCAAGCTCGTAACCAACCCACTAACGAAAAGATCCAGATGGACGTAGAGAGAGCTCCTTTTCTTCCAGGTTCGATTCATTCACACAAGAGGCAATGGTCTAACGAGGACCAACGAGGAGTTGCAAAGAAATGGGTAAAGTCCGATAAGAACAAGTCGTTTGTCCTCAGAAGGGGTTAATGAAGTCCTCTTCCCCGAGGTTCATCCAGCGTCTGGCGACTCCAGGAACAAAACCGAAGGTTCCAAACCAAGGTCTAGGAAGGAAGACTAACCTGAATCAGATCAGTCTAAAGTCATTGTTCCAGAGACGTATGCAAACAACCTAAACCCTCTTCAAGAAACCCTTCATCTTCACCTTCCCCAACTTTTTCCACCTCCCCATATAACTTTACCTCTTGAGAAAGACGGTTCCTCGCTAGACAAACCCACCTCTTCTCATCGCCAAGAAACCAACGTCGACCTCAAAGTCCCCAAACCACCAGATCCTAATCATGAACAAACAGTGTTACCCCCTATAAGGACGATCAACCTCAACAACAACAACGTGGGCCAGATATTTCAGCTGGAGGAGGAGGACATCTGGCTTACACTAGTTAAGAGGGTTTTTTTAGCAATAGAAAGGTTTCTGCTCCGAAGGATGTCCACCTTCAGTCTAGCAGTGACGGTGAGAGCAGACCCACCCTTAGAAACACAGAGGAGGGAGGTCATGAGAACAACAGGCATTAACCCAACTCTCCTTTCCTTTTTCCTGAATATGTCTTCCATAAAGAAACTTTCCTGAAACTGTAGGGGAGCTGGTAACCAGCGCCTCAGAAATGCGTTCAATGACTTAATGAGAAACCACAATCCTGAAGTTGTGGTGGTTAGTTATGGAAACAAGGGTCCAAAGTGAAACTCTTGGAAATTTCTTTCACCAATATAGTCTTGCCAACGCAGAGGTGGTGGAACCTCTAGGACGATCAGGTGGTATATGGCTCCTTTGGGACCCTATGAGAGTTTCTGTTCAGATCATTGAGACAAACAATCAAGCCATTCCCGGGTTTATTTCTAGGTTGGACTTTGACACGTGGGTTTTTCTGATCTCTATGGGAATTTAAATCCTGCCAACACAGGTGCCTTATGGGACAATCTAAGTCACACGGGGGATAATTTTCACAACCATTGACTTGTGGCAGGCGACTTAAATGACTACACAAACCAAGACTACACTAATGGATGTTTAAGGTTCATGGAGAGGATCAACAGATGCAGACTCATCGACCTTGGATGCAGTGGTCCCAAGTTGACTTGGCCCAGTAAGAGAAAAGGGCTTGCAAATACCCTACTCCGACTTAATTGAGCCTTGGCTAATGTTCAGTGGACGTCAAAGTTTCCGGTAGCAAGAGTTCAAAACCTTCCACGGACCAGTTCTGATCACTGTCCTATCCTCATTCACTGTACAGGGACTCTAACCCTGCCTTTCTGAGATAGTTAGAAATGTTCTGATGTCCCCTTTATCTGATGAAGAAATTAAAGCTTCTATCTTCAGTATGAAAGCCTCTTGAACCCCTGGTCCTGATGGTCTGCAAGCCTTGTTTTATCAAAAATATTGGACCATAGTGGGACCCTCAGTTTGTGAGACAATAAAAATATTTTTGAAAAGAAGGAATGTCCTTAAGAAATATAAAATCCAACAAAATTCCATTTATTTTGAAAACACGAGTGTTTTTTAAGTATTATCTATTATTATATGTTAAGAGGGTATAAAAAAAATAAGTCACTTACACTATACTTTTAAAAATAAATATTTGTAAAATCAAATAGTTAAATGTTGTTATGATTCATTTAATTTGTCATTCTCATTTTATGAACATATCATAATGAGACGATATTACATCCTTTTCATGGTAAAAATTTCTAATTATACTTACTAATGTTAAAGAATTATTGAAAAATTATAATTTCTAAGTCGTTAAATAATAGTAAAATATAAAATATATTTTATTATAGACGTATCCTAATCGTACCCGTATTTTTTTTTTTTTAAGTTTTATCATATCGTCGTATCCGTATCATATTATATCCGTATCTGTACTTTCTAGGGCCTAAGAAACTAAATAAGATTTGGATCGCACTTATCCCCAAAGTGGAGAATCCAACTTCAATCTCTCTGTTCAGGCCTATTAGCATATGCAATATAAGTTACAAGGCAATCACGAAATTACTTGATGCAAGACAGAGACCCATGTTAAGTGATCTTGTTGGCCCCAATCAAAGTAGGTTTATTCCAGGGAGGCAAACTACGGATAACATTATTACACAAGAAATTGCCATTGCCTGAGGAATAAAAAAGGTAAGACTGGAAACATGATCCTTAAAATTAATTCAGAAAAAGCTTACAATAAAGTTAATTGGTCCTTTCTGCATCAGACTCTTATTTATTTTTATTTTCCTAGCCACTGGATTGATCTTATTATGAATTTTGTTACTAACTCTGAGTTTTATATTCTTTGGAATTGATCTATTCTTGACACGGTGGTTTTTTTTTTTTTGGAAATTGGGTGAGGAGGGAGCTGTAATGTAGGGCATAGTGGCGTGATGGTGCGTAGTGGTGCTCAATGGTGTGTACACCCAGTTGTAGTGGCGGTGTATGTTGGTCAATAGTGTACGTGGTGGTGTTTGGTGTCGTTGTGTGTGGATGGAGGGAAATGTGGGAGGGTGGCTATATATTTTGAAGAAAGAAGAGGGTAAAATTGGTATTAGTGAAAAAAAATTCGATGACATCAATCATGTGTCAGTGGTTAGCAACATTAATATGACAAGGGGTGTGGTGGAATTAAATATATGACCTAGAAGGGGACGTAGTAAAATTTTAGATAATTGAGGGGATGTTTTTAAAGCTAGGGCAATTTATAGGGGGGTGGATGAAATTAACCCAACTAAATAAATGGACTATAAAAAATAAACAAAAAGGATAAAACCAGATAAAGATCTCGACTACTAACGCCCACTGTCTCTGCAATCCAAAAACCACTAAACCATTGTCCAAAACCACAAACCGCCAACAGTTTCACAAGCCACAGCCACCACCCTCACAGAGTCACATACACACACTATATATATCACAATCAATTACTCAGTTCCAACACACATTCTCACATCTATATCATTCTTCTTCAAGTTTTCTCCAGTGTTGATCAAACAGAAATGGCTGCAGGAACGGAGCGCAAGATTCTGGTGGCCGTCGATGAAGGTGAAGAGAGCACATATGCTCTCTCATGGTGCCTGAAGAACGTAGTTACTGAAAATTCCAAAGATATCCTTATCCTCCTCTACGCCATACCGCCTCGAGCTGTCTACACTGGCTTGGATGGAACAGGTGAGAGACATAACCTGACTTTAGGGTATTTCAGTTAAATGTTGTAATTGAGGAAAGTAAATGTTTAACATGGTAAAACTCGAATTTGATACGATAGCCCCATTTAATTAGTATTAATTGAACAAAATGCAATATTATATAGATTTAGGTAATTTTTAGTTTATTAAAGACATATTAGTGATAGGTGTAGTTGGGAAATAATAGGGTATTAGTTTTGAATTTTCATTTCGCGTGCTATGCAGATCAACTCAAACGAGATATGAAAATAATTATTAAATAATTTGAGTTAGAGTGGATTAAATATTAATATTGGCATATCTGATTTGGGTAAGAATGATATTTAGTGGTGGTTTTGTGAATTTTGTTTGATTTCAGGGTATTTGTTTTCTTCGGATATATTGGCAACCATGGAAAGGTACAGTAACCGGGTGGCTGAATGTGTGACTGAGAAGGCGAAGAGAGTCTGCAAGGAGGTGAATGATGTGAGTTGTTATTTTGTGGCTTGGGGAAGGGTAGTATGGTCATGTAAATTGTTATTGTGGTTTGGGTTTTACTGGTATGTGGCTGTTGTGTACGTAGGTCAAGGTGGAAACAAAGGTGGAACATGGGGATCCAAGGGACGTGATTTGCCAGGTGGCGGAGAAGTTGGGTGTTGATGTGGTCGTCATGGGGAGCCACGGGTACGGTCTGATCAAGAGGTGGGTCCAACTACAACTTTGATTTCCTTCAACTTCATTTTTTATAAGAAAATGAAAAAAAAAAATCACACCCATTCTAGTTCCTAATAATTCAACTTTATTCCTATTATAGTGTTGAATCGAATTATGGTGGGTTTAATTTAGTTTAAGTATGGCCTACCGCAGTCTTATCCTATACAGAAACATTTAAGTACAGTCTATACTTGTCTGGTTAGCGACAAAGCATATCCTATCTATACTCATCCTATTAAACAATTAAATAATTTTTTTCCACCCCATACAGAAACATTTTTGACCCCATTATACATACACCAGATCATGCCACACTATTCAGGCCTACGCATTATCAGCATGCAAAAGACAGAAGAAATCTGGCCTTTTCGAGAATTCTTTGGTATGTTTTGATTCCTTCCGATTGAGCATAGCAACTTTGTCTTCTCACACAGCTGGTGAGGACAACTCAAAAACATATTTTAGATTTCATTTGTTTCTCTATATTATTCATGAAAAATCAAACAATTTGAAATTAGCAGGCACCTAATGTGAAATAACAGGCACAGACCAACCTTTTGTTTTCACCCTTTTTCTTAGCTTGAACTTTTAACAACAGAAGGGCTCAAACGTACAAGGTCTTGAGACATAATGAAGTAAAGCAAAAGAGCCAAATTGCTATAATCCCAACACAGTAGCACTGATCCAACTATGGTATCTCTTTTTAGGTTGAGTTTATTAACCTTTGTGGTTCAATCATATTTTGAATTTATTTATCATTTTCTGGGTTCTGTTATCACTTTTTGGAGTAGAGTTTATCACTTTTTGGACAGAATTTATTTATTTTTTCTATTTTTCATATTATACTAAAAAAAAAAAATTCGATAGCATAGTATTTCTTCCATTCATTCATTGTCTCACTTATTTATTACTAACACAGACTGTATGGCAGGGCTTTCTTGGGGAGTGTAAGCAATCACTGTGCACAGAACCTGAAGTGTCCTGTTCTGATTGTGAAGCGGCCCAAATCAACTAATGTCAGCAATAGTTGACCTATTCTTTTGGGTTCTTACAACGGTCTAGTTGTTGTGCAATTGTTCTTGTATCTTTGACTTATTTTTTTGCATGTTTGTTCTTTTTTTTGACTTGTTTTGGTTAGAGCTTGTATATGTAATAACTCTGCGTTTTCTGTTTGGTGCATATAAAATTTTGTCAGATTCATAATGTCAGCATTAACAGTGAAATTATATTGTGAATAGAGGCTAGTTGTATAACTTATTTTGGTCAAAAGGGATTGCATTCTGATAAACAAAAATTAAAATCGATCCTAAAATGTTAATATCGATCTAAACAATCTCATGTTCGATTGGACTTATCTTATGCAAGTGTATGTGTTTCATATGGACGTATTGGGTTGGATTTGTAATGTCTCAAAACCCATTCTAAAAGGCATTAATTATTTATCTAACATTCAATAATGAGAATAATTTGGATAATAAATCATCCATCAACTAGATAAATAATTAAAACAATGTTAACAAAATATTGTTAATTTGTCAAACTTATAACTCAAAATTAAATAGTATCTTGCAATGAAAATAAATAAGAATTATTCAAAACATTGTTTCCTAGCCAACTCTTAAATTAAAACTAAGAACATCTCTAAACCCCAAAGTCGAGATAAACATACTGATCTTCCTCGGCTTCAAAGTCAACATTCTCATCTAATTTGAGATTCTCTTCAAAACCAATATCTGAAAATATATATATTGTAAGACGAGCAAAAAGTCCGGTAGAAACACATACTCAAACAAAGTTTCAAAACAAGTAAAACTAGTAAGTCTCCATTTGTAAAATAAATACATAATATTTGAAGTAAAATAATGACATTTATCATGATCTTAGGTTTATGAAATAAAATAATAATTTCATAACATAATAAATCATTTAAAAATACCACATCTTTGAAACATAAAATGTCATTGTACATAGGTAAACTATTGTGAATTTACACACCGAATTTATTTCGTTCACCTACCACATACCACAAACCATTTTAATTAATCTCCATAGAGTCGCAACATTTACCACACTTTAGGAATGACGTGTACCGACGTATCAACATTAATGTATCATTTTCCAAGAATAATATACTAGTCATCGGCTTCGAACTTACGTGAGCAATAGGTGTTGGCATTCGCAAACAACTAAATCCCTTATAAGTGTTAGACAATCATCAAACCCTTTGAAGTAAAAACAAACCTCTTCCACTCTACGATATGCATTTGATAATCCACATATACCATAATCCAACATTCCACAATTCACAATCTAGATAATTATCAAAGAAAAAGATGTAAGAGATTGTACAAGAAATTTTTATAATCACAATACTCAAAATTCTAGGGTTTAATCAAGAATATATGAATTTGGAATGTAAAACCTGTATTTGAAAGTAAAATCACGTGTTCTTTCGAGAATCAAGACAGACATTCGAAAGGAATATAAAACATTGAAGTTATATTGATTAAGAAATGAATCTTATGATCGAATCAACATTAAAAACTCATAGATTTACTTTTTACATTATAATAAAGATGAAAAAATATATAATTATATAACTCTAACCTCAAAGAATGAATTCAAGAAAGAATCTCTTCATTAATCTCCATAGAGGTTGATTCTAACATGTTTCGTGGCGTTTTCTATGCGTCAATTCTCCAAAATCTCCCTTTTTTCCATTCTCCCCAACTTCTTTAGCCTCATAGGGCTCAATTTTGTTGAAACTGACCTAAAAAACGTCCTTAGAGTATTTATAGGGTCAGAATCTAAATAGTCGGTGCGAACATGATCGTTGTAAAAATTGATCTTACGTTTAAACGCGACTTGTGTTCGAACGTGAATGTGTTTTATTTTCAGTATATTGATTTCTGTAAGACACTAAAGTACTATAGCTACGCTTTGTTCGAATGTGACTTACTCCTACTATCTCAAGTTATGTCAGAACCCAAAGTACTGTGACTAAGTTGCATTCGAACGTGAATTGCGTTCAAACGTTACTCCAATTTTTTGTCTGAACTTCCAATGCAATTTTAACCTACCTAAAAGTGCAATTTACGGGATCTTTGTAAAATACCTTTTTGTAACTCTTGAAGTCTAATTTGTAATGTTTGAAAATCAAGTCAACCTAATGTTAGAATAAAAAGTTATGGGTGAAATATTAAGGTAGTATTCAGTTATTCTCTTTTTAACTTCTCCCAAAAATACCTCCCGAGGTTTAAAACACCTCTAATATGTTCTATATTTTTACACTCAAGTCATTACATCTACATGCAGTGTACAATACTTACTACATAGTGTTATAGATATATGGGGGTTTATAGGATTAATGTTTTGCCTACATCTTACATTGCCAAATATGTCTTTCCCATGAAAATATGTTTGAATGTGGTTTTTCAAAACCAAATTATTCATGGGAATTTCTTATGTTGCCCATGTTGGGTTACTGAATATATGATTTGATTATGGGTAGCGGCAACTAGTCTGCATTAGCCTTTAGATAAAAAAGTTGGTTGGCCTCTTTTTCTTCACCTCAACCTAAGCCCCCCCCCCCC